TCTGAGTTGAACACACACTTCTCAGAGGAAGAAATACTAATGGTGAATAAATATATGAAAAATGTTCAACATCATTAGTCATTCGAGAAATGCACATTAAAACAACACTGAGATCCCATCTCACCCCACAAAGAATGGCTAGTATTAAGAAATCAACCAATGACAAATGCTGGAGGGGCTGTGGGGGAAAAGGAACACTTCACCACTGCTGGTGGGAGTGTAGATTGCTGAAACCACTGTGGAAATCAGTCTGAAGTTTCCTCACAAAACTAGGATTTGAAGTCCCACTTAAGCCAGCTATTCCCCTTCTGGGTATATTTCCAGGAGAATTAAAAATGTCATATCACAGCGATATATGTGCACCCATGTTTATAGCAGCACAATTTGTTATAGCTAAATCCTGGAAACAACCCAAATGCCATCAACTGAGGAATGGATAAAAAAGATGTGGTATTTCTATACAATGGCGTATTACTCAGCTATAAAAAAAAGAAAAACTTGAGGCTTTTATACGTAAATGGATGCAACTAGAGATCATACTCATTTTGTTTTGCTTTGTTTTGTTTTTTTGTCTTTTTGAGACAGGGTCTTACTGTGTAGTTTAGGCCAGCCGTGAGCTTACTTTGTAGCCCAATCTGGTCTCAAAGTCGCAACAATCCTCCTGCTTTAGCCTCCCAGTGCTGGGATTACAGGTGTGCGGAGCCACGCCCAGCTGAGACCATACTCATAAGTGAAATAAATCAGACCCACATGTGTAAACGTCATATTGTCTCCCTGGTGTAAGAACATGAAAGAGTAAATAAAACCCAAAATGTACAACAGATAATAAGAAAGGGAAAGCAATTGCTCAAAGGAAGGAACAACTGGGATGGGGAAAGAAGAAAAAGAAAATACTAAGGCATTTTATTTATATATATATCGGTGGCATAACTGTACTGCTGGTGTCTGATGGTTTGTTGAGGGGAACAGTTAATGATTAAAAGGTTTTTTTAATATTTTGACCAATTTTGCACGCTTGTATCTGGTGATCTGAGCAGCTCATGTGACGCTAACCATTTGCAATATAACATCCACTGGTGAATTCCTACAGGCCTGCCTAGTGACACTATGTATGGTCTCTAATGTTCTTCTACATTATTATTTTCTTATTCCTTTTAATGATTTGATCAATCTTCTATTCTTACATCCGGTCATCTGAGCAACTTCATTGAAGATAACAATATGTAATGTAACAACCACTGTTCATCTCTGTCATTCGGTTTGAAACCCTGTATCATTTTTCATGTCCTTGCTTTGTGCTGTTTATATCTTGCTATTGTTCTTTTTGGGGGCACTATTTTCTTTAAAATAATTTTTTTTTTTAAAAAAAAGGCAAAAGTTATGCCAAGTTCTGCCCTCCCTTCCTCATCCTCTTGGCCCAGTTCCCTCCGAAGCCCCGCTTGGCCCTGCCCACGCGGGCCATCCGAGGCCACTGTCCCCAGGCCTGGAACCCCCAGACTTGGCAAGGCCGACTCCCATCTGCTGCCCTGAGCCCCAGCCGCCTCCCAGCCGTGGTGGCCAGGGCCAGGCCGCAGGGCTTCGGGTCGCCGGGCCCCACAACGCCCCGGGGCCGCCTCCTTGGCACGTGGCCTGGCCTTGGGCTCGGTGGGCAGGAGCTGCTCCAACTCCGCCCCAGAAGCCCCTGCGGCTCCTCCGCTGTGGCCCCAGGTGGAGGAGCGGGTTCCGCATGCCCCTTTCCCGAGCCCCACCTCCTGCACGGCCCGGGCCGCACACTCAGGCTCTGAGCCCTCAGCGTCCCTCACATCTCTGGGGCCGAGCAGCCTCTGCTCGGCTGCCCTGTGCCAGGTCCCATCCTCTTTGCCCTCTGTCACAGATCGGGGCGTCCTGACCCACACGGTCACTTGCAAGCACGCTGACATCTGGCTTCCCTCTTTCCCCCGGCCCCAGAATTATACAGCGTCACAGACAGCCTTCACACAGGAGGACATGAGCCCCAGCCTCTGTCACTTCCTAGAGGCCACAAGAGTCCTTGTGCGCTTCTAAGACACGCCGGAAGCCCTACAGCCACGGGTAACCTCAGCCATCACCTTCCTCGCCCCTGGTCCTGCTCACCTGCCCCGCGTCACGGGGGCAGCTCCCCTCCTACCTACCTGTCCACAGGCGGCCCCCAGCCTGCATATTAATATTCTGTCACAGGCACCGGGGAGATAGCTCAGTGGCACAGCGCCTGCCTGGAAAGTACAAGGTCCTGAGTTCGATTCCTGGTACCAAATAAATAAATAAATAAAATTCAAAATAATAATAACAACATTCTGTCACTTGCCCGGGGACTGACTGGGCTCACTTCTCCAGGTCCCTCAGCTACGAGGACACCTCCCTGGGGCAGCCAGCACAGTTACTCTCCTCACCCAAGGCCAGGCTGGGTCCTGCTCCAGCCCAGCCTCTCTGTCCTCCGCACACTCTAGAGCTACCATACTTCAGGTTAAGCCGCTCTGGTGACCCCACAGGCTCTCCAGTGAGGCCCCAGCTGCCCGCCTGCAAGCCAAGGGCTCCCCAGCAACGCATCATCACCCCCACCCTGGTTCCATTGTTCACCACCCACTCCTCACAGCCCCTGGGCTCCGGCCAAACTCCCTCCTACCATCTGGGGCCATGTGTTCCTTCTGCCTAAAATAACCTCCCCCATCCACCTGTTGAGATCCATCCTGGAAGGATTATTGAATAAATAGTTCCGGGACAATTGGTTAGTCACTCGAAGGAAATGTTTTAGATTCTTCACTTCATGCTCTGCATCAAAATATACTTCAGATACACTGGAGCTAGAGTGGAAAATATAATCATGTATATTTAAAAACTGAGCCATAAAAGCCTCTAAAATATACAGTCATCGAATATCTGAAAGGAGAATATTCTAGGCTTAAAAGCAAAGCATGAAATTCCACAGAAAATTAGCGATCAGTCTGACTCATGAACCAGAAGTTGACTCATTAAAGCCAGTGAGAGGCTGGTAAGAAACAGAAATATAGTAGCTCGCTAGAACTCAGCCTCGTTCTTCCACAGGGAAGGAGCCTTAGGGTAGAAATCAGAAAGCTGTTTGGTTAGCAAGAAGTTAGGGGAGGTGGATGGGCATCTTCATCCAAGCCCTGTATAGGCAGAGTGTGGTGATGTATGCCTGTAATCCCAGCACCTGGGAGGCTGAGGCAGGAGGATCTCCACAAGTTCAAGGCCAGCCTGTGCTACATAGTGAGTTCAAGGCCAGCTTGGACTACAGAGTGAGACTGTCCAAAGGGAAAAAAAAAAGCCCCGCGGCAACACTGAATCTTTGCCAGGAATGGAAATGCTTGAGACCCAAACTCTGACTCTCTGCCTCCTAGAAGTCGGACCTCAAATCCACCCTGTCTCCTGGAGGGTCCCAAACCTGATCTCCACTCCTCCCCTGTCTTTTCAACTCTCTTGAGTCCACATGTATTGAGTACCCACCCTAACTTATGTGTTACCTAACATTTTTCAAGGATTATCGTCCAGCAATCTTACATTTTTTGGTGTACAGGTTCCCCAACATCCTCAATTCCCTTTTCCAAAAATAATAACTAGGGCCGGGGATAAAGCTCAGTGATACAATGCCTGCCTGGCAAGCGTGAGGTCCTGAGTTCGATTCCCAGTTCCAAAAATAAAAAATAATAGAAATATAAAACACCAAATAATCACTATTTTATGGAGTTATAATCTCTGTAGTAAACTATGCATTTCAGTGAGTTTCGGCACCACCACCACAGCCAGGATACAGACTATCTCCATCACCCCTAGGAGGCCCCCGCTGCACCTTTCCAACCTAACTCTCTATGCCCCGACGACTATTTTTCAGATAGATAGATATATACACACACACACATATATATATATATATTTCCCTTTCTAAATTTTTATAGCCATAGAGTCATACAGTGTGTTCTGTATGGACATACTTTCACTTCCCTTAGATAAAAGCCTACAGGAAGAGCTGGGCCTGGTGGCGCATGCCTGTAATCCCAGCACTCAGGAGGCCGAGGTAGGAGGATCTTTGCAAGTTCAAGACCAGCCTGGGCTACAAAGTGAGCTCAAGGACAGCCTGAACTGTGTAGTGAGACCCTGTCTCAAAAAGACAAAAACAAAAACCTTAGGGAAGCCTGAGGAAGGAGGATCATCGTGAGTTGGAGACCAGCCTGGGCTACAAAGTGAGCTCAAGGCCAGCCTGCACTGCGTAGTGAGACCCTATCTTAAAAACACACACTCAAAAAAAACCTAATAGTGGATACTTGAGAGTTGGCCATGTGGTAGGTGAGTTTATAATTGTCTAAGCAATGTATACCTGTATCAAAATGGCACATGCCCCCCATGAAGTGGTTTTTTTTAATTCTTAACTGCCAAAGTGT